AGCAATCTGCTGGCCGTCATCTGCAGCGACTCCCACGTAACGCCGACATTCTCCGTTTCCGATGGCGACACGAACGAACAAGAGGCTCAGGAGGAAGCAGTGCACCGGAAGCAGATGATGACACTCCTGGCCCAGATCGCCGCCAATACCACGGCCAAGGGTCAGTGAGAGAGAGAGATCGGCGCTGTGACCGAGCGCGAGGTCGCCTATTTGTTGTGACCGGAAATTTCCAGGTGTGCCACGGTACGAAAAAAGCCAGATACCAAGAACCGAACCCCAGCGCGGCTTGGGGTGGGGACAATTCATTCCATCTCGCGAACACCGAAGAAAAGGAATTCATTCACTCGCAGGCAGGCCATCTCCTCCCGATTAGAGAACACCCCTCGAGATCTGAGCTTGATAGGCAAAATCGCTTTCCAGTTAGCCCCTTACACGCCTCGCTCATTTAGAGAGCTGCCGCGCCTCCATCATCAACATGGGAGTACCCAAATTCTTTCGCTGGCTCTCAGAGAGATACCCTCTCATCACCATCCCCATCGAGCCCTCGTTCACGCCGGAGTTCGGTTCGTTCAACCACTCTCATGCACGCTCGATCTGCACTGCCCATTTTCGCTCATTTATTTGAAATTCCCCCCCCCCGTAAAAATAATCTGCAGACAATTTATACTTGGACATGAACGGCATCATTCACAACTGCACGCATCCCGAATGGAACGACAACGTGCTGAACAAGCTGAGCGAAAAGGAGATGATCATCCAGATCTTTCACTACATCGACAGACTATTCCACGCCGTCAAGCCTCAGAAGCTTATCTATCTCGCCATTGACGGTTCGCTCTCTCTCTCTCTCTCCCCCCCCCTCTTCCCACGCACGCGCACCCCAGCAATTGCTTTTCTCCCCCCGCTCTCTGCTTTCGCCTCCCGCTCTCTCGCCTCGCCTCGGGCAATCGCAGCACTCGGCAGGCTGCCTCTTGTCTTCTTCTCACCTGACCGCTTTGCGGTGGCGCAATTGTGCAGGTGTCGCACCTCGCGCCAAGATGAACCAGCAGAGACAGCGACGCTTGCGCACGGCGCAAGAGTCCAAGGAAGCCCTTGAAAAGGCCCGGGAGACCGGGGAGAAGGTTCAGGTACGAGTAGTAGTTGCAGTAGTGCCTGCTGCCTCCTTCACCTTTCCTGTCGTGCTGGCTGGAACGAGTCCCTGATCTGTCTCACGCACAACAGGAGGACATGTTTGACTCCAACTGTATCACCCCTGGCACTGAGTTCATGGCCAAGCTGTCCGACTACCTCAAGTACTTCATCCGTAAGAAGATCAAGGAGGACAGCGCCTGGAGAAAGGTCGAAGTCATCCTTTCCGGCCATGAAGTACGTCGTCGTCCAGCAACCTGCTCAACTCGAATTGATCCGCTAATCCGATCGCACATCTGTTGTTGTGAACTACAGGTTCCCGGCGAAGGTGAGCACAAGATTATGGAGTACATCCGCAGACAGAAGATGCTCCCTGAACACGACCCCAACACGCGCCACTGCCTCTACGGCCTGGACGCCGACTTGATCATGCTGGCCCTTGCCTCTCATGAGGTAGGTCACACCTCTTCCGTGTGAAGCTATCACCCCCCCCCCCGAGAGTATACACTGACGGACCTGGTTGGCAGCCCCACTTTGCCTTGCTCAGAGAAGAGGTCACGTTTGGCCGCCGCAAGAAGAAGCCAGAAGCCACCCCGCCCAAGTTTCAGGTACCGTGATCTCCAACTTTGAATTGTTGTTGTACCTGCTTTCCGCTTTTCATGTTGAAACACGAAAACAATACCTAACGAGCCTTCCTCTCTCTGGGTATAACTATGGTGATAGCTTTTATTCGTGAACTTGCTGCGCGAGTATTTGGACGAAGAGTTCAGAACGGAGCTGCCTTTCGGCTATGACCTTGAGAGGGTCATCGACGACTTCGTTTTGTTCTGCTTCTTTGTCGGTACGGTGCCGGCTGGCCATCCTCTGGGCTCAACGCTTACCCGTGTGGGAAGAGATGTAACAAACTAACCGTCTGTCATTCGCTTTTGCAGGAAACGATTTCTTGCCCAACCTGCCGTACATGGACATTGCCGACGGAGCACTCGACAAAATGTTTGACATCTACAGGGAGCTCCTACCAACCCTTGGTGGATACATCACCGAGGTTCTTTCCCGTCTCTCTCTTCCCCCCCCCCCAATATGGCGCTCGTTTGATGTTTGCCCTGTTGCCGATACCCATCTCGGGATGCTGACCGTCGCCATCACTCGAACAGAAAGGAGAAATCCTCTGGGAGCGCTGCGAGAAGTTCCTGAAGCAGATCGCCAAGTACGAACAGGAAATGCTTTCCACGATGCCGCCCCTGCACCTCGAAGTGCTGGAGCAGAGCTTGCAATCTGACAACGAAGAGGAAGAAGGTTCGTTCTCTCCCCCTGCCCCGCAACCCGGCTAGCCAATTTTCTATATAGAATCCCCGTTCTATGAACATTAACCGTACGGAGGTGCTGTTGGTGCAGACCGCCCCGATGAAGCCGACCGGTCCAAATTCAACGCATGGCAGTTAAAGATGAAGGAGAAACAGAACACCCTTCGCGCCAGTGGCGAGAAGCACCCTGGTAAGAGAGTGCTACCCTGTTTTCTCTTACTTGTTGTCGGGTCGGGATCCTGATCGTTCTATGATTAATGTTTGGCGCAGTGGCGAATGACGAAGGCGGCAACTCGAACGAGGTCGAGGACGCCTTGGCCGAACTTGATGAGGAAACTGTCGTATTCGAGGGCGGCCTCAAGGCGAAGAGCGACAGCGAGTACGACTTTGCTGCCATGGCTGCGGCCAGCGAAAAGTTCAACGAGCAGCGTAACCGACCGAGAGACGAGGAAGAAGAGGAGGAGTACGACGACGACTCCTGGAAGAACTGGTACTACAGGGACAAGTTCAGGATCGGCCTGGAGAACGAGGAGTACCACAAGCACCTCCGCACGTCCTACCTCGAAGGTTTGGTCTGGGTACTGCGCTACTACTACCGCGGCTGCTGCTCGTGGAACTGGTTCTTCCCGTTCCACTACGCTCCGCTGTGCTCCGGTACCCTCGACCCCAGCCACCCCACTCTACGTGTTTAGTGCGTTCTTTCTGTCTGACGTGAAAGGGGAGAGTACTCATTCACGTGCCTCTCTGTCCACGCGCCACTCTAGATCTGGTGAACTTGACCTCGTACAAGCTCAAGTTCGACCTGGGCACGCCGTTCTACCCCTTCCAGCAGTTGATGGGCGTGCTCCCCGCTGCATCAAAGACTCTCTTGCCTGTGCCCTACCAGGTACGTGACTTCCCGGATTCAATCCTCTCCAGCACTCTGTGATGCGCAGCCACATCGCTTGTTTTGTCCCCTGACTTAACTCTCTCTCTCCTCCCCCCCCCCCAAACCACCACTCAGGAACTCATGACAAGAGCCACTTCGCCCATTATTGACTTCTACCCTGAGGAATTCAAGGTACGCACGCCTCCGTCGCAGTCAGTCGATATGGGACTCGCGGTCCCGCTAAGACACGTGTGTTGTTTGTTCAGGTGGACATGAACGGCAAGAGAAACGCGTGGGAAGCCATTGCACTCATCCCGTTCATTGACGAAAAGCGCCTGCTGGATGGTTCGTGGACAAACACCCCATTCTGAGTTGATGAGAGTGCGGCATGTGCGGCTGGCTGACCAACTCACCTCTTCCGCCTGTGCTGCGTTGCTACAGCGATGGACACCGTCGACAAGAATCGGCTAAGCGAAAAGGAGAGGAAGAGGGACTCGTTTGGTGTGGCATACGTCTTCTCGTACGATGCCGCCAACGAGACGCTCTTCCCTACGCCCATGCCTGGCGTCTTCGCTGATCTCAACCCTTGCCTGGTCGCCCAAAGGTAACCTACCTACACCTACAAAACTCACCAGTCTTGCGAGGTGGAGAAAGAGTGACCGCACCAAGCCCTCACCACCACTGTTCTTTTGTCTTGTGATCGCACGTAGGGAGTTCCGCCTGGCTGACTGGGGTCCCGAAGGCCAAATCACGCCCTACCTTCTGCCCAACGCCAAGTTTGGGCTACAGAACCAACCGGGCTTCCCCACGCTGCAGAACCTGAGGCACACGAGCCAGCTCGCTTATGCCGGCCTGTCCGTCTTTGGCACCTCCAGCAGGTATTGTGTGTGGTGTGTGTGGTGTGTGTGTGTGTTCTTTCTCCATGTGCCATAATGGATCTTCGGGTCCAATATTGGCCGAAACTAACGGCGCGTCATCGGGTGGCCACTACGTGCAGGAAGCAGAGTCTGTTGCTGAAGCTGCTACCGCCTGAGGGCCAGGAGCCCAAGGACAAATTGACGCAGGTCAATAGCGGTGCCGAAGGTACACGTGTCGCCTCCGCCCCCCGGTGAAGATCTGTGTACTCATCGTTCTTGAATCACCTCCATACAGCTCCCAGCGCCCTCTTGACCAAGGAGCACGCAGTGGACGATGTTGACGCCAGCCAAGTACAGGACCTCCTCGGCAAGACGATCTACGTCGAGTGGCCCTACCTCAAGGAAGCGCTGGTACGCCCTCTCGCAAGCTCTTAAACAGTATTCATATTCACCACATATGGCGGTCTTCTCTTCACGCTTCTAGGTTTTGGGCATCTCTGATGACGAGTGCCGTACGAGCCAGGCTCAGGGCACCGTCAGACATTCTGTGGTGCGCTTTCCCCCTCCATCACAGGATGTTGCCCGCTTTCGAGTCTTTCGCACTAACTTGAGGGTTGGGGCCACCCTGACAGGGCGATTCTGGTGCCTGGCTCAAGGAGAGCAAGTACCAGAGGAACCACTACAAGGCCAAGAAGGGCATGGACATCGGCGAGGTCAAGGTACGCGATCAGTGGTGAATCGGTCGTTGCTTTTGATGAGCGGGCGATAGTAGGGTTACAGCAGCGGTTCACATCACCAGACGAACTAAATGCACCCCAACATGGGGTTTTAGGTGATGCTGCATGTGCAAGTCCTCCGTGGCATGAAAGTGAGGAAGGACGGTTCGCGCGTCAGGATGTGGCGTACCGTTGATGACATTTACCCGCTTCAGGTAATGAACGATACAACCAGCCTTCCAATCTAGATGCGTGTACATTGGTTTGTCGCCTTACTTATAACCTCCTCCTCCCCCTCATACCGTAGACCATTGTGAAGGAGCACTACGCGCCCGACCCCAGGCTGCAGGAAAGAGGTGCTCCGTCCGTGGAGGAAGCCTTCCCGATTGGCCAGCGCGTTGTCTATACTGGCCCGGGCCAAAACTTCGGTGGTCTGGGCACCGTCGCAGAGCACTTGCCGACCGAGGCAGGCTGCGTGCCTAACGTGCGCGTCGAGCTCGAGGTGCCGCCCCCGCCAGCCACCTTCGGGCGCAGGATTGCCCTTCAGACTCAGGAGAACTTCTACCACCTGTCCGAAGTCTCCAGGCGCTTGAACATTTCGCCCAAGGTGCTCTCGAAGGTACTGTACTTTTCGCCCCATCTCGAGAAATTGATGCAACACCGGCCGTAATATGGGGCAGCTCACGCCGGTGGTCGCTCTGTTTTACAACGCCTCTCCGAATAGATCACCGCCAGCGTGTACGCGCAGCATCAGAACAGGAAGATCAACATCGGGTTGAGGATCAAGTTCACGCGCAAGGGTCAGCAGATGCTGGGCTACACCCAGCGCATCGAAACGCCTTCGACGAACGGAATCTCGCGCGGCTATTGGATGTACTCGGCTAAGGCCCTCGACCTGGTCTACGAGTTCATGCAGAGATTCCCCGACCTCTTCCAGGCGCTCGAGGCCGACGACGCGCAGGAGATCGAAGTCTTCTCGCCCGAGATGCTCTTCCCCAACGGCAACGCCGCCGAACGCATGACAGAGGTATGTGCCGCCTTCGCCCCGTCGCAGTCGTGGCCCTCTTCTTTCGTGCCACGCTATTTTTTACTTTTTACTTTTTTTTTGTGGGTTCAACTCACTGTGCGTGATACCTCCAGGTGGAGGAGTGGTTGAAGAACCTGGAGACCAACAATCTGCAACGCGTGCCCATCGGCTCGAAGGTACGGGAAGAGAGCAGACCCGTCAGCGGCCGATTCTGTCGATCATGATTGACTTCTCTCTCTCTCTCTCTCTCTCTCTCTTCTTTTGGTCAGGCCATGCCCAAGGAGGCCGTCAAGACCGTAGAGGAGGAGAGTAATCGCTACGTGGCCAACAACAACGCGAGGAAGAAGAAGACCGTCATGATCAACTGCCAAACAAACCAGCTCTTGACCCCCTTGTCCGACATTCCCGCGACAGACGAGGTACACACTCCACACGATCAGAGGACCGTTGGATCGCTTACCTCTTGAGTAACGTTGACTGAACTGTTTGCAACCGTGCCTCCAGGAATCGACACAAATGGACATCCCGCTGGGCGAGAGAGTGATGAACCTTCGCGACAATGGCCCTATCCCGTTCGGCCTCAAGGGCACCGTCACCGGCATCGTGAACAACCTGCTGGAGGTCGTGTTCGACGAAGAGTTCCTGGGCGGTACCAACCTCGGCAACAGGTGCTCCGACCTCCGTGGCCAGCAGCACATCCCGGCGACCACGGTGCTCAACCTGGGCCGTGGACACGGTGCCAAGCGTGGTGGCCGCAACTCTGGCCCTCAGCAAAACGCCTGGGCTGCCAAGGCCGACAGGGAGCAGCAGGGTCCCAGAGGTCAGAGCCAGGGCCAGGGCCAGCAGGCGCCTCACCAGCACCACCAGCAGCAGCCCCGCCCCAACCGCGGCGGTCAGGGAGCCGACAAGCCTGTGACCATTCTCTCCAGTAGGGGTGGTGGAGGAACCGAGAAGAGAGACGTGAGGAAGTCTGGCGACAAGGTCGCCTACAGGCCGAAGCCACAGCCGCAAGGTTGGTCACCTCTTCTCTTCTGTTCTTTGCGCAGACCCCCCCTTGTATTAACGGCACACTTATGTGCTCCTGCTCTGCTACTCTCTAGGGGAGGATGGTGCCGCGGTCGAGGGGGCTACCCAGCCGGCACCCGGCAAGAAGGAGCGATCCAGGAAGAACGGCTCCAAGCCGTCGTCTCTCTCGTCGTCGACCGGCAGCAGCGGCTCCAACAATGGCCAAAGCACCGAGGAGGAGGTTGCCGAGTACTGGAACAAGCTCCAGTCGCAGCATTCCGAGCCCGCGGAAGGGTACGCGCCCTCCGAGCGCGTGTTTGTTTGAACCACCAGCTTAGACGCGATGCTCTGCTTGTGTGGGCCTACTACTCGGCGCGCACGCAGGGAGGCTGCGGGCACCAAGCCAAGGAGGGAAAGGAGGCGCGGTGGCGGCAAGAGGAATGCAGCCCACCCTGCTGCCGCGGAACAGCACGCATCCCCTCAGGTACTCCTCCCAGCTTTGCTAAGCTTCAGTCTGCGCGCAATTAATTGTTTGCTGATGATGTACCAACACTCTTTTTTTTTTCCTAGCCCGCCGGCCCCACTCTCCTGCCGGCTCAGGGCGCAGCGCCGGCTTACCCGCTCTACTACTACCAGCCTGCACCCAACTTCCCCCCGCAGCCCTACATGATGCCCCCGCAGTACCCTGGTACCCTCCCCCTCCAGCAATCCTTCATGTGCAAGGGTTGAAGCGCATCAGTGACACTCACCCCGCCGGCTTTTAACCCCGCCACCTAGGCGTACCTCCCGCCGCGGCCCTCTATGGCGGTGTGGCGATGCCATTGGCGGGAGCTGGGCCGACTGCCGCCATCCCCATCCCGGGGCTGCCCGTTCCCCTTCAAGTACCGCTGCAGCCTGCCATGGCAGCTGCCCCTCTTAACTGGTAAGTGTAGCGTACCGGCTTCTCTCTCTCTGGTGTGTGTGTCGACGTGCACGGAAAGGGTGTCTGTGAGTTCGGGTTTGTTGGCTGACGCGCATCTGGGTGGGCAAACATCAGGCAACAGCAAGAATTGGTCAGCGAAGGCGCCAAAAAGCCCCCGCGCGGGGGTAGGGGCGGCAGGGGCAGAGGCAGAAGCGGTGGTCGCGGTGGCTACGCCGGTGGCGACGGTCAGCAGCCTCCCCAGCAGGTACCTTGTTTCCTTGTTTTTTGGGAGTTGATTGGCCTGCATGATCACTGACTCACTCATGGCGTGTGCACAGCAATGGCAGGAAGGGAATCCTGATGACGCCACAGCAGCGTCCCAACAGCAACAGCAGTCACGTCAGAGGAGAGGGAGAGGCGGCAGGAACAGGCCGGACAGGGATGGAGACAGTCAAGAGCAACCCCAAAAGGACCAGAAGGATCAGCTCACCTGGCAGCAGAAGATGCTCCTCTAAGTCTCTTCAAAGAAGGAGGAGTGAAGAAACGGAGTGTGGCACTCTTGTTGTAACTGACAGTCCTTAACAATCTGTGTTGGCTTCTTTCCTCTTCACCTATCACCCACCACAGGTGGTGTTTGCTTGGTTACAAACAATCCAACACTTTTTGGCACCAGCCTGACATCAGCTGTTGCTGCTGCAGGATGTCATGGTGGGTGTGTCATGGCATTTGCTTACTGGGGTGTTTCACTATGAGGAGGAGCAGGACTATGACACTGAGGTCAATGTGCTTTTCTTTACAAATCAGTCCTTGAGGATGTCAGCACACATGTGTTGTTTGTGTGTTTGTGTTTGTTTGTGTGTTTGTGTGTGTATTTGTGTCTGTGTTTTTTGTGTTTTGTGTGCACAAACACACAAACACAAATACACACACAAACACACACACACACACAACAAAGAAACAAGAGTCTCTCTCTCTCTCTCTCTCTCACTCACTCACACTCACTCAAATAGAGACAAGCCCCCAAGCGATAAGCGAGTAGGGGGAAAAAGAGAGGAGAAGGGTGTATATATAATATAATATAAGAGAACAAAAGCCCTATTAATGCCACTGAAACCACTTCTGCCACCAGCAAGAAGACACTTCTAATGGCAGGAAGAAGTAAAACTTCAGAAGTACCAAATGTTACACTTTTTTCTATTACTGGGCTGAGTTGATGTTGTGTATGATCTTGGCCGTGGGCTGTGCAGCAAGGTAGACCCGGAGGTTATCCGGGGAGATTTGGCCAATCGGAAGCTTAAACCATTCATGAAAAAACGCCCATTGGAGAAATGAGCACTGCAGTGAAAAAGCAAAGGAGGAGACTCACCAAACCAACAGAGCACAAAAGGAAGAGCACCAGGAAGAGATGGAAGAGGTGGCCATGATGCCAGAGTTAGTAGCCCTCATCTTGAGCCATGTGGACCCGCTCACCCTGCCCTTGTGCTGTGCTGTGTGTTGCCAGTGGCACAACGCCCTCAACCACTATCATGTCCCTGCTCCCATCACCATCTGGAGGAATGGTAACCACCCCCCCCCAACCACCAACCACACACCCACCTACCCTCCCCAAACACAAAGAATGACATGCCTTGCTTCTGTTCTTTTTTACAGACAGCTCCCTCACTGTCCACCACAGCAGCACATCAATGATGACAACTCCCCTTGTCTACACCTCTGTTCCTGGGCGCGACTTTAGTGCACACATGGCCACTTGAGGCTGGCTCTCTGGGTTGCAGTGGGCACACTCCAATGGCTGCCCATGGGACACAATGACATGCAGTAGGGCAGTCAAGGGAGGCCACCTCAAGGTGCTCCAGTGGGCGCACGCCAACGGCTGCCCATGGAATGAGGACACATGCAAGAAGGCGGCCAAGGGCGGCCACCTCAAGGTGCTCCAGTGGGTGTGCGCCAATGGCTGCCTGTGGAATGAGTGGATGTGCACCTATGTGGCCTTGGGAGGCCATCTTGAGGTGCTTCAGTGGGCATGCTCCAATGGCTGCCTGTGGAATGAGGACACGTGCGCCTGGGCAGCCTTGGGCGGCCACCTTGAGATGCTCCAGTGGGCGCAGGCCAGCAGCTGCCCATGGAATGAGAACACATGCAGGAACGCGGCTTTTGGAGGCCACCTCGCAATGCTCCAGTGGGTGCGCGCCAATGGCTGCCCATGGGACAAGTGGACATGCGCCAATGCAGCACTTTGGGGCCACCTTGAGATGATCCAATGGGCGCGCGCCAATGGCTGCCTGTGGGACAAGTACACATGCCACAAGGCGGCTGAGGGAGGCCAGCTTGAGGTGCTCCAGTGGGCGCGCGCCAATGGCTGCCTGTGGAATGAGGACACATGTGGGAAGGCAGCCCTGAGAGGTCACCTTGAGGTGCTCCAGTGGGCGCACACCAATGGCTGCCCATGGGATGAGGACACATGCGCCATGGCGGCCTTGGGCGGCCACCTCAAGGTGCTCCAGTGGGCGCAGGCCAACGGCTGCCTGTGGAACGAGGACACATGCCAGAAGGCGGCTTTTAGAGGCCACCTTGAGGTGCTCCAGTGGGTGCACGCCAACGGCTGCCCATGGAATGAGTGGACATGCGCCAGGGTGGCCGAGGGCGGCCATCTCAAGGTACTTCAGTGGGCGCGCGCCAATGGCTGCCCGTGGGACGAGTGGATGTGCACCCTGGCGGCTGAGGGAGGCCATCTCAAGCTGCTCCAGTGGGCTCACACCAATGGATGTCCAGAGAATGAAGAGTCCCAGTAAGCCAGGTGATATAGTCTTGGATGAGGAAGACATCCAGATTTTTATATCAGAACATCACATTGTGCCCATCTGATGAGGGCATCTGCAGTGTTTTCCTTTAGGAAAAAGAAATCATCATCATCACCATCATGAAAAAAGATGAACATGCCACTTCCACCAGCCTCCCTTGAAGGGCATTTACCTGGCCGAGGCGCACTTTCTGCTCAAGAAGCTCGCCGAAAGCTGCGCCGCTGGCGCAACAAAAGGCGCAGCTTGGCGCTCTGGCTTTGGCGATGTGCGATTGCTGTGTGGGCCATTGTCAATGACGCCCTGCATGCCCCCACGTCATGATGACCATCATCAGAAACCCGAAGAGTTGTGAACGAATCGGCCCACACCTAACGGGGGGGAGAGGTCTCTGCTCCTCCGCGGTACGTACATAGGATGGCACCCGAAGCATAGCCGCCATCACAGCCAAGATTGCCGCTGGGACCAGACCACTCGTAGCCCTGAAGAGCACAGCTGCGTCAGTAGTGCCTTGATACGAATCCGCTTTGCACGTCGGACATCAAGGCGCGCGACATGATGGCCCTCGAGTGGCCTGCTCGCGGTTCCGGACGGGCGCCACCCCGTCGGCCACCGAACAGGCCGCCCGGATGAAGACATCGAGCCGGACGAGCCGCCAGTCCCGGCGCCGACCGGCTGCGGCCACTACCTGATGTGGGATCCGAAGCAGTGGCGCCTCAGGTGCCCAGCCGGCTGCGGGTCCCTCGTGGCGCCCTCCTGCGCGTGCAAGGCCTACGTGCGCGACGAAGAGGAGAACAAGAAGTTGGGCGACCACGCCTCCCACCAATTACTACAGCTATCGCGCTGTGAAGCTGTCGCAGGACCAGTAGATGACAGCGCCTCTCAGAAATTTCGATACTATCAGATGTCTGATTGGCCAACTCGCTTCGTTCTCTGGTTGGCTCGTCGCTTCTGCGCAGCTCAAACCCCGCCGACACAGCTGCGCCGGAAGAAAGCGACCGGCAAGACTCGATACTGCTATCACACCCCTTACCCGCCGCCATGGCATCGATCACAAGCAGCGATGACGACAGAGACCTCGAGATGACAGAGCTGGCAAGCGAAGAGCTGGCCGAGGTGAGCCACTACCATCTTTTCTTCCTTCTTCACACTGTGCCCCTAACTCTATTTATCATTTGATACCATCAATTGCCCCCCCCCCGATGCAGGATTACACCAGGCTCGGGGTCTCCCAGTACGCCCGCATCGATCAGCCCACGCCCTGCTCGCAAGTCCCTCCGCGGCTTCGGCTCAACCTCGAGTGGCGCAACCTCACCCTCAAGTTCGTCGTGCCCACGCCGCCCGCCAACCCCGTGCTCCGCCTCCTGCTCGGCTTCCTCCCCCTGCCCGGTGCCCTGACGGGCTGCCTGGGCTCGGCCATGGAGATTCCGATCCTGAACAACGTGAGCGGGAGCGTGCGCGCGGGCGAGCTCGTTGCCATCATGGGTCCCACCGGCTCGGGCAAGACCACCCTCCTCAACGTCCTCTCCAAGCGCATCACCCACGGCGGCGCCAAGCACCTCACGGGCCAGGTGCTGATCAACGGCAACGATAAGGTCACGCCGGCGCGGCTCAAGCGGCGCATGGCCTACGTGATGCAGGAGGATATCTTCTTTCCGGAGATAAGCGTGCGGGAGACGGTGCGCACGGCGGCCATGCTCAAGCTGCCGCGCACGATGTCGGCCGCCGACAAGAAGGCCGCGGTCGAGAGCGTGCTGAGCGAGCTCGGCATTGTGCGGTGCGCCAACACGATCGTGGGCAACGCCTGGAAGGTACAGTGCCTCCACCCGCCCGCACGCCCTCGATCTATCATTTCGGATTGGAGCTGACTCTGACCGCGGTGTGCGCGATCATGGGCCACAGAGGGGTGTATCCGGAGGCGAGAAGAAGCGAACAAACATCGCCACGGAGATCGTAGGCAACCGCTCCCTCGTCTTCCTTGACGAGCCCACATCGGGTACGTGTGCGTGTGTGACGAAGGAAGCACCGGTCGACTGACCTTCATGTGCGCATGAATAACAACAGGGTTGGATGCGGCGACGTCGCTGGGCCTTGTGGTGTCGATGCGCGCGCTGGCCCAGAGCGGACACACGGTGGTGTCGACCATCCACCAGCCGTCGTCGGCCATGTTCCTCATGTTCGACCGAGTGATCCTGCTGGCCGAGGGCGGGTGGACGGTCTACTCGGGTCCCACCAAAGACGTCCTCTCCTACTTTGCCTCGCTCGGCCTTCACACCCCCGGCCCACAATACAATGCGGCCGACTTCATGCGTACGCCCCACACCACACTTCATCAGCTGCGTCCTTTGTTTTTGTTTTTGTTTTGCTTTTGCTGACGCGGTGCCGGCACCGCAGTCGAGGTGGTGAGCTCGACGCGCACGATCAAGGACGGAAGGACGGTGCGGCAGCTCCTGATCGATTCCTACGCTGCCAACCACCCCACCACAGACGACGGGGCCAAGAAGCAGCCCCTGCTCATCGCCGACGATGACGATCAGCCCGAGAAGAGTACCACCACTACGAAGAACAATAACACCGGCCAGTGGGGAGAAGAGGCGTCGCTCAAGGACGTGCGAAAGGGGGCCAAGTACCCGACGCACTTCCTCCAGCAACTGCGGGTCCTCACCGTGCGCACCTTCAAGCAGCGCCGACCAGCGATCCTCTCCGCTCCCCAGATCATTGTCGTAGTCATCTTTGCCATCGCCTCCAGCCTCTTCTGGCTGCGAATGGACAAAGACGGTACGCCACCAACCGACCCTTCTGTCCAACATCGTTGGTCTGTCCCACTGACGCGGGGCGGCAACCAGAGGAGAGCTTGGCCGATCGCAACGCATTCCTGTTTTACAGTGCCATGTATTGGACGATGGATACGATGTTCATTACCATGTTGGCATGTACGTGTTCTCGAGATCACCTTGTCTGCCACGCCACGCAGACAGCCTTGACTGACACGGGCTTGCACGGGGACTCTGCTCGCCACAGTCCCCGGAGAGCGGGCAGTGCTGAACAAGGAGCGGGACACGGGTACCTACCGCCTGTCCTCCTACTTCCTGGCCAAGGTCCTCGCCGAGACGCCACTCGATCTTGTCCTTCCGCTCTTCTTCGGTTGCATCACCTACTGGGTGGTACGCACTGCCCCCCCCCCCACCCACCCATCCACTTCTCCCCTATGCCGAGCCTCTTAACGGCCCCTTTTCGCTTGCTTGCACCAATTAGGTGGGCTTGTCCGCGCACGCGGGGGCCTTCTTCCTGTGGCTCCTGAGCCTGTGCCTGCTCACGCTCCTGGGAAGCGGATTGGGCCTCATAGTGGGCGCAGCGATCCCCAACATTCAGCAGGCCATCACCATCGCGGTCATCTTCATCCTCAGTTCCATCATCCTAGGTATGTTAGCCTGCTGACAATGAGGCTGCTGATTGATTGCTCACTTGTTATTGGCACACGTGTGCAGGCGGGTTCTTCCTGTCCCAGCAGTCCCTGCGCGTGTGGATCGCGTGGGCCAGGTGGATCTCAATCATCAAGTACAGCTACGAGCTGCTCCTCCTCACCGAGTACCAGGTGGGCGACGACACCTACACGCCAGCGGTGGTGAACAACCAGTACCCAACAACGGGCGGCGTGATCACGGGCGATGACGTGCTGGACCACCTCAACGTTGAAACCACTATCTGGGCCGACATCCTGTTCCTGGTGGGCATGATCATTGTCACGCGCCTGCTGGCCTACTTGGCTCTTCGCTTCCTCAACAAGAAGCAGTTTTAATATACATGAAACTTGCTTGCCACATATCGCCACGTCCAACACAGGATTTCCAACTATTTGCACCAACAACCTTGGGTGAACAGAATGGGTGGTTTATGTTGGCGAGTCGTCTTGAAAGAAGTGAGTGTACAACAAGTCATCGAGTGTGGGAGAATCGTCAAAGAAGTTGGTTGGGTTGTGATGGGGTTGGCTGGTGGGCGGCGCCTGTTGTTCAACAGGTTCTGGCGGTGGATGGTGCTCGAGGTGATTGATGAACGGTCCGCTCCAGCGGTCGACCACCGTCACGCCCCAGGAGAAGGTGCCTTGCAAGTCGTAGAAGCCCTGCCAGCGGCACTCAGTGAAGAGGATGCCGCCTTGCTTGTCGATCATGGGCGCCACAAAGTGGTACACGGGGCCATCGGTGGTGGGCCACTTGCTGAACACCTCTGCGGCGATAGCTGACAACACTTCCCAGACGGACCGCGGATACAGGCGGAGCGCGTTCAGTCCCTCCAGCTCCTCCTGGGAGTCGCACATGTAGTACCACCATCAGCCACGCCGTCATCACTGCCGCACACACGCACGCACCCATCTCCACGCAGCAGATGGCGTCACGAACCCGAGAGTACTTGA